GCGCGTGCGCGTGCCGTGCGCGTGCGTGGTGCGTGTGCGTGGTGCCGTGTGCGTGTTGCGTGTGCGTGTGCGTGTGCGTGTGCGGTGTGCTGTGGCGTGTGCGTGTGCGTGTGCGTGTGCGTGTGCGTGTGGCGTGTGCGTGTTGCGTGTGCGTGTGCGTGTTCGTGTGCGTGTGCGTGTGCGTGTGCGTGTGCGTATGCGTGCGTGCGTGCGCGCGCGCGTGTGCGTGCGCGCGTGCGCGCGTGCGTGCGTGCGTGCGTGCGTGGGTGGGTGGGTGGGCGGGTGGGTATGCGCGTGGGTGTGTGGGTGTGTGGGTGTGTGGGTGTGTGGGTGAATGTGTGTGTATGTGTGTGTGCGTGCGTGCGTGCCTGCGTGCGTGTGTGTGTGTGCTTGTGTGTGTGTTTGTGTGTTTGTGTGTGTGTGTGTTGTGTGTTTGTGTGTTTGTGTGTGCGCGTGTGTGCGCGTGTGTGCGTGTGTGCGCGTGTGTGCGCGTGTGTGCGCGTGCGCGTGCGCGTGCGTGCGCGTGTGCGTGTGCGTGTGCGTGTGCGTGTGCGTGTGCGTGTGCGTGTGCGTGTGCGTGTGCGTGTGCGTGTGCGTGTGCGTGTCTGTGTCTGTGTCTGTGTCTGTCTGTGTCTGTTTGTGTCTGTCTGTCTCTGTCTCTGTCTGTCTGTGTCTGTCTCCGTCTGTCTGTGTGTGCGTGTGTGCGCACGCGCGTGCGCGTGCGCGTGCGCGTGCGCGTGCGCGTGCGCGTGCGCGTGCGTGTGCGCGTGCGCGTGCGTGTGCGCGTGCGCGTGCGCGTGCGCGTGCGTGTGCGTGTGCGGGTGCGTGTGCGTGTCTGTGTTTGTCTGTGTCTGTCTGTGTCTTGTCTGTCTGTGTCTGTCTGTGTCTGTCTGTGTCTGTGTGTGCGTGTGCGTGTGCGTGTGCGTGTGCGTGTGCGTGTGCGTGTGCGTGTGTCTGTCTGTGTCTGTGTGTGCGTGTCTGCGTATGTGTGTGTGCGTGCGTGCGTGCCTGCGTGCTTGTGTGCGTGTGTGCGTGTGTGCGTGCGTGTGTGTGTGTGTGTGGGTGTTTGTGTTTGTGTTTGTGTTTGTGTTTGTGTTTGTGTTTGTGTTTGTGTTTGTGTTTGTATGTGTTTGTGTGTGCGTGTGTGTGTGTGTGCGTTCGCTCGGCAGTCGCCCACGAGTCACACCAGCTCGCTGCTTGGCCGGAGAAGAGCCATCTCTGGTGTGATGTGGTGCCCGGGCGTTTCGGCGCCCATAAGTCGTGGGAACTCGCGGGGTTGTGCTCCTAGAGGTTTCGCCAACGCGGGGTCCCAGAATTTTCTTCCAGTTGCTGGGAGCCTTCTCCCAGGTCCGTGCAGCTGGGGGAAGGAAAAGCAGGCTATCAGAGGCCTAGAGGTTGACACCAACACCAAGATCGGCGGTGTGCCTCCACCGAGGGAAGACGATCCCGATCTCGGTGATGGTGGTAGTACTCTGGCTTCCAAGGTGGCCGAAAAGTTACCACCAACACCGAAATCTAGGATCATCTTCCCCATGCGGAGGCAACCCCCCTGTGTTGGTGTTGGTGCCCGTTTCCAGGCCTCCAAGGCCAGGGCAGGGAGGACGGCGGTCGACGGTGGCAGCGGGAAACGACCGAACAGAGCCCGCCCCGAGCCCGTTTGCCTGCGGCCGCGGCGCCGAGAGCTGCGGCTGCCAAGCGCCGCCCAGCCTCCGCCCCGCTCCCCGCCCCTCTCCCGGCCCTGCCTGGCGGCGGAGGCGGCACGAGTGCGCCAGCCAGGCTGGGGCAGTCTTGTGACGTCCTTGAAAGCGGTCATTGAGACCTCGTCCTGTGAATGTTCTTCCTCGCCGTCCTCCTCCTCCTCCTCCTCCTCCTCCTCCTCCTCCTCCTGCGGAGGAGGAGGAGGAAGACGACGACGAGGAGGAGAAGGAGGAGGAGGAGAAGGATTAGGATGAGAAGGAGGAGGAGGAGGAGGAGGAGGAGGAGGAGGAGGAGGAGGGGGAGGAGGATGAGGAGGAGGAGGAGGCCAAGGAGGAGGAGTTCGGCGCCGCGGGTCGGTCCCCCGCGGGCCTTGGCGTGTATTGCGCACGCCGCGGCCCACGAGTTACCGAGGCGAGAGCAGCAAAAGCTGTACGGACAGAGTACAGGTGAAGACCTCGTCGCCTGTAGCGACTCGCGGCCCAGCCGTCCCGGCTTGGTGCATTGTGAGCCAAAAGGCGTCCCAGCCGGAACGACTGGCACTGCATACTGAGGAGCACGAGCTCCCCAGCCCTGGGTGGGCACAAGGCCCCATGGGACTTACGTGGCACAAGCCACCGCCTCCCGAGGAAATGCAGATCCCTGAGGGCCAGATCGCAATGAAATGACCGCACAGGCGCCGCTGACGCCGCCACCAGCAGGGCTAAGCTGAGACTGGGGGCCGTGCTACACCCAACGACGGGAGCCCCGCCGATACAGGTTTCGCAACGTCCACCCCCAGTCCCAGAGCCCGCCGTATCCAAGAAATTCGGCCGGTTGCTTCACACCCTGCCCGCTCACTGCATGCCAATGATACAGTGTGCCCCGAGGGTGTACAGCACTGACACCATGAAAACAGGTGCCAAGCCCCCACCCTCGGGGGGGGCCAAGGAGGAGGAGGAGGAGGAGGAGGAGGAGGAGGAGGGACGCCCTCGCCGCGGGCCTGCCGCCTCCCATGAGGGGGGGCCGCCGGGTTTCGAGCCCCACCTAATGGGGTACAGACACCTCGTCGACAAGACCCTGCGGGGCGGCCTGCCCGAGCAGATGGACGAAGCCGACAGGCGCGGCGGCCTGCTGGCGCCCTCGCCCTCCTCGCCGGCGTCCGCTCGCTCCTCTTTTTCGTCCGCCCCGGCCTCCTCCTCCTCCTCCTCCTCCTCCTCCTCCTCCTCTTCTTGCTCCTTGGCCTCTCCCTCCTCCATCCCCGCCGCCTCGGCCTCGTTCTCCGCCTCCTCCTCCCCCTGCGTTGTAAATGCGCAGCTCCTTCTTGTTGCACCACTAGGCTCGTCCGCAGGCCAGGCCTGGCCTTTCGCCGGAGACGGCATCACACTTAACTAGCAATTGCCTCGCAGATTGAGACCTCAATAGTTACAGAAGGGGTCCTTTTCAACATTTGGTTTCGCCCTGGCGCCGCGCACATTCGTCTTTCAAGCTTGCAACATGTGCGCGGATGGAGGCTGGATCCTTTGCCAAATGCGGCTCTCGTCTTAGCGCCGCGCGCACCGATTCGTCCTAAAAGGTTGCAGCCGTCGTGCGGATGGAGGGCGGTTTCATCAAAGAAGCGATTCCGCCTAAGGTTTCTTAAGCACACATCGCCACACATGTCCAAGGGTGCCGACTCCTGTTCAAAATGGGGTTCCCATTCGAGACTTCCGCAAAACATGCCACCACAAATGCAACATGATGCAACACCTACTCGGATGGAGGACGGCGTTCCCCCTAAACGAGGATCGCGTATGGAGGGACAGGATGGCAGATGTGGCGCGAGCGCTCCTCTCCTGTCCTCTTACCCCTTGTCTCAGAGCCCCGAATCATCAGGGGTAACTCGGGTCAGGGATAACTCGGGTTCCTTTTTCGGGAGTCCGAACCCGAGTTACCCCGGACCCGAGTTACCCCGGATAACTCGGGCGCCCAGAGCCCCGAATCATCAGGGGTAACTCGGGTCAGAACTAACTCGGGCTCGTTTTTCGGGAACCCAAACCCGAGTTACCCCGGACCCGAGTTAACCCGGATATCGGGGGACGAAATCTATACATATCCACTGCTCCCTGGCCAGGCCCATCCTGAACCCAGGAGCTGTGTATACGCCCTCCTGGCCAAACCAGGAGAGCGTGGCGTATACACAGCTGCTGTGTTCAGGATGGGCCTGGCCAGGGAGCAGTGGATATTTATAGATTGCGTCGCCCTAGGATAGCGCGGGCGCCCAGTTGTCCCGCGCCCAGCCCTCCCGCTCTGCAGCTGCTCCGCAGGTGTGTCATCACTCCCTTCTCCGCCGACCACGTGCGGCCGTCCACCCGCCGCCACCTCGCGCTGGCTTCGCACGCGCGGGGATTCCTATATGAAGGCCCCATATTGCAATTACAGCTCTTTTTTTCTAAAAAAAATTAAGATAAAATTAATTATGAATAATAATAATACTAATACTCATAATAATACTACTAATAATATTAATACTAATAATAATAAATAGTAATAATAATACTAATAATAATAAATAATACTAATAATACTAATAACAGTAATAATAATAATCATAATAAAGAGAAGTATCAAACGTCACCCCACCCCACCCCAGAAATAAGCGAGAGGGGGGCAACCCAAAACAAAAAGAACAAAAAGGAAAAACAAAAAAAAAAAATAGAGGTTGCCACTCCCTACACGTGAGTTTCTCCACTCCTAGAGCTCCTGGCCGTCCCGAGAGGCGCCCAGCGGTCAGGCGCTCACCACACTCCTGCCCCCCTCGATCTACAACCACACGCCAGCCGTTGAAAGCAGGTGTTCCTGGATTCCCAGATCCCGGTCCACTCCAAGCACCTTCCTACTCGAAGAATCGATCTGCCTCTGCCGCGTGTTGGGCTTTGTGGGCCCCGGAAACGGCAGGGCCGTTTTTTCACCGTTTCCAGAAAAATTGTCCTTGAAAGTGGAAACGGCAAAAGAAAACGGCGACCGGAAACGGCAACAAAAACGGCTCCAGGATTGGAACCAGAGCCGGAACCGGTCAAAAAACGGCGACGGAACCGGTAAAAAACGGCGTCGGAACCGGCAAAAAACGGCAGAACGGAACCAGTTAAAAAGCGGCCTTGTCGTTTACAGGGTCCACTAAGGTGTTGGGTATTCCCTGGGAGGGCCCGAGCCCAACCTCCTCTTATCCGCCTTCCTGCTTCATGCTTTCGCCTACTTCTCCCGACAGGCACCGACGTGTGCTCACGAGGGGCACTGCTCCCACCTCTCTCCCCCGACGACGTGCAGCCGCTCCCTCGCCCCCCTCCGCTCACTGGCCCCACTTCGGGACCCGAGAGCCCGTGCTTCCTTTGGCATCGCTCGGACGTGTGCATTTCTCCTTCGGCGATCGACCATCGAGGAGCAGCCTTGATCATTTCGCGAAAAAGCCACGCACGAAACCGAAAAAAGCACAGGAAATAGACGTCCGAGCGATGGCCAGAGACCGTGCTTCCTGCACGCCCCTCTTTTGGAAAAAGCAGCGCCGTCGGCCGCTCCGACGGCCGCTCTCGCCTCGGCGCCTGCCACGCGCCTGCCACCTGCTCGGACTGGACAGGGGGGGCGCCTGTGGAGGAGTGTGCGCCCAGGAGGCCGCAGACCCTGGAGGATGGCCTCTCGGATGCGGGCTGCGGTGGTATCCATGGCCACTCCTCGATGGGGGCTCCACTGGCCCCGGGCCCTGGCTTCCTTGTCCAATGCTTCCCCCGCCCCGCTGCCGCTGCTGAGCCGCAGTCGCAGAGGCAGCAGGCCCTGATCCCGCTTGGCACCGACGGCGTGCCGGCCTCGCACGGCTTCGACTCGCCCGCGGCGGCCCTCGAGCGGGGACGCAGGGCGGTCGCCGGCACGGCGCGGGGCGGCGTGGGCACTTGTGTTCCTCTGCATGCAGGCGCCTGGCCTCGGCTGTGCACGCGGAGAGATAAAAAACAAGCCTCACCGCACATTTCCTGTTCGGAGAGTACTGCTCTCGCCCATCCCCCGAACAGCATGCCGCCGTGGACTCCCGCCCCCTCCGCAGATTGGATATATATATATATATATATATATATATATATATATACATATATATATATATATATATATATATATATCGAAGTCAGGACTTCCAGAGTTTCTGATGCCGCCGTTGACTCCCGCCCCCTCCGCAGATTGGATATATATATATATATATATATATATATATATCCCAGCCAGGACTCCCAGAGCCTCTGGGCCCCGTGCGTCCTGCTCCCGCCCCGAACGCCTCTGCTCGCGGCGCAGGGCGACCGCGCCTCGGCGCCCGCCACACGCCGGCCGCCACCGCAGCTGCCCACGGTGAGCACCTCTTCCCCGCCCCGGGTGATCGGGCCGGGCGAAAGGGGGGGGATTGGGAAAGGGGGGGTTACGAAATGTGCTGCATGCAGCTGGTTTCGGCTTCACCGAGGGGCCCAGTCCTCGATACATAGCCGCCTCCGGCGCCGGGAGGCGCCGGGAAAATCAGCTACGTGAGCTGATTCTCAAACCCCCCCCTTTGCTATCCCCCCCTTTCGCCCGGCCCCAGGTGAGCACAGCGTCCCTGAGAGCAGCGCTCCCCGCTTGCCCTCTCGGGGGAGCGGTGCTGTGGGCACGGCTCCCACGTCGGCGTGCAACCGCCACTATAGGTCCGGCTCGGCTGCGGCTGCGGCTCCAAGACGCCGTGGTCGTCGTCGTCACCGTCGTCGTCGTCGTCGCCTTCCCCAATGTTCCCCGATTCCTCCTTTCCCTCCCACGCTCCCGTCTCACACGCACCGCCGCCTCCTGGTTCCGCCTCGTCTTCGTCGTCCTTCTCGTTGTCGTCACCTTGGGCCTCCTTGTTTTGATGTCGAATGACCCATGTTCATGATTATGATCCTCCTCCTACTGACCCTCGTTCCCCTCTCTTTTCATGCCTCCTCCTTCTCCCTCATCCTGTCCCCGTTCCTCCTACCATTTCGTCCTCTCCCTCGTTGTCTTTCTCCTGATCTTCCTGCTCCTCCTCCTCCTTTTGCGTCGCCGTCCTCCTCAGCCTCCTCTTCTCCTCCCTCCCCAGATTCTCGCTTCCTCGTGTCCTCAATCACATTCCTTCGTTGCTGTCTCTTGCGCAGCGTTGTTCGATTCGATGGCTCGTCTCCCCACTGAGACGGCACCCGACTTGCTCGCTGGCTGTGTGTGCCCTTCTTGCCCCGTCCCCCTCTCGCGCAGCCGAGCACGGGCGAAGCACCGAGGCCCTGTCCGATACGACGACTCGACCAGTAGATGGGAGCGTGCGCAGCGGGAAGGGATGGGTGGACGCATTACGATGTCGGAGGTGATGCGAGCGCACCTGGCTCGCCTATCTCCTCAGGGGCGCCCTCGAGGGCGCGAAGTGGTTCGCGCGTCGCGGTTCGGCTCCGCTTCCTCCTCGTCCTCCTCTTCTCCCCCGGGAGGCGGCGCGAGAGCGCGAAGTTGTTCGCACTTCGCGCGTCGCGCCGCGCGAAGCGCGAAGCTGGGAGCCCTTGTCGCCTCTCCTCTCCCCTCCTCCTCCCCTATCTCCTCCTTTTCGGTCCCCGCCTCCTTCTCCTCCTCCATCGTCACGCATCCTCCTCCCGCAACGGCAGCTCATGTTGGCGAGAAGTGCATCGCACGTGGGGCACGACAAGGCCACCGCATTGCGACGCACATCTGCAGTGAAAACATATGCAGCTGGCTGGGCAGGTAGGTTGCCATAACCGTCATGACGTATCTGTATACATCAGGGGAGTGACACATGTACTTCTGAGGGGGGGCGCAGGAAGTAGGCCTGCAGCATTGAGCCAGGGCGCCTTTGAGAGCAGAAATGTATGCAGCATGGGCACCGTGTCAGGGGTGCTCTCAAAAACATGATCGACTTCTTGGTGCCGCCGCTGGTGAAGTTCGTGCTAGAGCAGTGCAAGCAGGCGACCGCGCTCACACGAAGCTCGCTCGAGCCAGTGGTAGTCCCACATAATGGAGGATGACGATTAATAAATGACCGGGGGTCGTGTTCACGCGGCGGCGCCCGGGATGACGATTAGAAAAAACCGGCCGCGGGCTGGAAAGCTATCTTTTTTAATCGTTCTCCTCCAGTCAGAAAGTTGTGCAGAAATCGCAGCAAACTGTCTTTTTAATCGTTCTCCCCCATTTTTTTATGAATCGTCATCCCGCATTACTCCGCAAACGTGATGTTAACAAAACATGGCCGGCTGAGCGCAGTGCCGGTGCAGCTGCCGGGGCCAGGGCAGCGGAGCGACAGCGTCGAGCCGCTGGGAACAGCGGAGTCGCGGCCAGGCCGTGGTCCAGGGACCGTCCACAGCATCCACCGCGTGCGCAGGGGGCCCATGAAGCCTCACGGGGGGCCTCCAGGTAGTTCCTTGGAGGGTGCGTCGGCTCTGGAGGCCGACGCAAGGGACCTGGCATCGCTCGGACGTGTGCATTTTTTCTCGGCGAGGGCCAGGCTGTGGTCCATGGACCGTCCACATCGTCCACCGCGTGCGCAGGGGGCCCATAAAGCCTCACAGGGGGCCTCCAGGTCTTTGTGGGCCCCGGAAACGGCAGGGGCGTTTTTTCACGGTTTCCAGAACAATTTCCCTTCAAAATGGAAACGGCAAACAAACGGCGACCGGAAACGGCAAAAAAACGGTTCCAGGATTGGAACCTGAGCCGGAACCGGTCAAACAACGGCGACGGAACGGGCAAAAAAACGGCGTCGGAACCGGCAAAAAAAACGGCAAAACGGAACCGGTACAAAAAACGGCCCTGTCGTTTCCAGGGCCCACGGAGCTCCAGGTAGTTCCTTGGAGGGTGCGCAGGCTCTGGAGGCCGACGCAGGGGAGGACACACCCTGCTCGCCCCGCTCGACTCGTGGGCGCTCTGCTCCGCGCTCCTCTGGGCGGCCCTTGGAGGCACTTCTGAGGCTGCCTGGGGGCCTCGGGCGTCCTGGAGGCTTGGCATCGCTCGGACGTGTGCATTTTTCCTTCGGCGAGGGCCCTCGGGGAGCATCCTTGATCATTCGGCGAGAAAGCCTCGCACGAAACCGAAAAAAACACAGGGAATGGACGTCCGAGCGATGGCCAGGGAGGGCGCTGTAGCCAGTCGGGCATCCTGCGTGCGGCCGGCCCGAGGTAGAGGATCGAGGTCGGCTCGGAGAGGGTGTCCTGATGTGCTTCGTGCTCGCTGGATGTTTTGGTGCACGGGGGCCCCGTCGGGCCAGCCCGAGTCCCCCGAAGCCCGGGTCTTGCGTCTCCCCGGAAGGCGGGTCGCGGGGCGGGCGGCAGGGCGGCTCGCAGGACGGGTCGCGGGGTGGGGGTCGCGGGGGCGACGGTGGGCAGGCAGGGCGGAAAACTCACACCGTGGAGCTCCTTGTGAGCCGCGTAACCAGGGCGCCATATGGCCGTTCGGGCCCCTTCGCGCTGGAGGTCCAGGAGCCGAGCTGGCCAGGCGATGGAGGAATCCTGCCACCAGGTGTGGGTGCATTCCGCGCAGAAGCTTAGGGCCCTAGTCTCTGAGCTGGCCGCGAAAGAGCAGCTCAAGGTAGTAGATATGTTTGACGCTTCGCGTAGCCCCATCTGTCCATCCATAAACGTTTCCCAGGCGAATTGTCGTGAGACAGAACGTGGAGGGGTGTTGGTGAAGCATGAAGCACAGAAAGAAAACTAGTCAAACCGAAGCCGGGATCAGCCCCTGAGAATGGCAAATGTGGGTCCTCAGGGGGGGGGGGGGGGCATTTTGGAAGCTTTGTTGAGGGGAGGGCTTTCGAGACCATCGTGGACTCTCTCGGAAGCCTCCTTGTGCCCTCTTCAGCCGTCTTGGGGCGACTTTAGGCCGTCATGGGGAGATCTTGGGCCGTCGGGGTCCCTTGAAGGTCAGTCTCGGGGATCTCTTGCGGTCGGCTTGTAGTCTGCTGGGGCCCTTTTTGGCCGTCGTGGGGCTATACAGCTGCCTTGGACCAGTCCCGCGACCTTGCCAGCCCAGTATTCTGGGCGGCGATTCTTCAGGGGGGCACAGGAGGCCGTCACGTGTGATACCCCGAGCCTCTTGGAGGCATTGGTGGCCTGTTGGGTGCCTCTCGGGGGCCTTTTGGGGCCTTTTAGGGGCCTCTTGGATCCCATGGGCAGCGTCTTGGGGGCGCCTTGGAGGCGTTAGAGGGCTCATTGGGCAGCCTTAGGGCACTTTCGAAGTCCGACTTGGGGCCCTTTTGAGGACCTTGGGGGCCGTCTGAGGGCCCCCTTCGGCCGAGTCGAGGTCACCTTGTACCGCTCTTGGACCAATAGGGACCATTGTGGGCCGTCGTGGGTCCGTCTTGATGCCATCTTGGACATTTCCTCGGCCGTCTTGAGCTGACGGAAGCCGGAAAAGTTAAGAATTCGACCATGAGTCAACAACCAATGGAACATTGGTGATTTTGGCCTCTTCGGGCCATCCTGGCGGTTCTCTGGGAGCCTAGTTGGGCGGTCTTGAGGCCATCTTATGGCGTTGCCAGTCATCGCGAGCCGTCATGAAGGTATTTGAACATCTTGGCGGTCCTGGTAGCTTGCTTGGGCCGCATTGGAAGCAATCTTGGGCGTGCTGGACGCAGTGGAGAGCGCCAGGGACCCGCCTGGCAGCCCAGGATGTGTCGGGAGGGGGCGGCGGTACACGCATGCGAATGTCTAGGAATCCTCGGGATCCTTGTACGGCATGGTCAGGAACCCTCATGGATCCTGAAGACGCCGCTCGGGACCCCTGAGATATCACTGCGCGCGACGGCGCAGCACATGACAGGACGGCCCATCCAGCACCGCGTAAAACTGCACCGCATCACGGCGGCTTGCGCTGCCGTGCACAGTAGTTCCAATAGTTTGACGTTCATCCCCTGAGAAGCCGGACTTGGCGTCGTGCCCTGTTCGCTGGCTGGTTCGAGTTGGCAGCCGTTCGCAAACGAAAGCGCAGCCAGTTTCGATAGGAGGTGGGGTTCCATCATAGCTGTAGCGAGCTGTAGTTGTTTCCCATTGGGTCTGTAGCCAGCACTAGGTCCCAGCGGACGTTGAAAGCCTCGGCGAACGTACGGGGCCGATTCCTGTGGGTCGTGAGACCGGTCGATAAGAAGAGCGGCCAGGAACCCAGAAGCCCGGGAACCCCGCCGCCGACCGAGATCGGCCCAGATCCCGGAACCCGGGAGCCCGGGAACGCCGGGAACCAGGCCGCCCACCGGAATCGGCCCGGAAGTGTCGCCACGTCTTCCAACATCCGCTAGGACCCTTTCGGTGCAGGCACTGATTGGGGAGCCACAGAGTACAGAGCAGAATTAGGCTGGGGAAGGACACGTGCATTTGAGAGACAGCAGAGCGAGTCAAGAGGGTAAATCAGGTAAACTGGAGAGCCACAGAGAGGAAGAGACAAACAGAGGGGGGGAAAGGAGAGAGAGAGAGAGAGAGACGGAATAGACACAGCGAGGGAGAGAGTACATGCGACCACGTTCGGAAAGAGAAAACATATGGCAGAGAGTAGAGGGTACATAGCAGAACGCATTCGTGAATAGAGAGCAGAACGAGTTGAGAGGGTAGAGTAAGTACACATGAGAGAAACAAACAATTAATGTGGGAGAGACAGACAGAGATACACAAACAGAGAGAGAGAGGGATAGCAAGCATACATGATCATGCTAAGTGATTTACATATATAGGGAGAGATACAAATATACATAATGATGAGAGTGATACAGAAAGCGGGAGTGAGAAAGAGAGAAATACAGAACTATACATATATATATATATATATATATATATATCGAGAGAGAGAGAGAGCGAACGAGACCACGATATCGTAGGAAGTAGATAGACAGTCGAGGACAGAGAATAGAGAGCCAAGCTAGAACAGGGCTGGAGGGAGGCCGATAACAGAGAGAGTCGAAGACGCCTACGGCGCATCACCGCCGCCGACTCCCTTTGTCTGGAAGCGCCCGTGCAGCCGAATGTTTGTGGCCGCAGCTCGGCCACGCTGTGGGACAGTGTGTCACCCCAGCCGTTGGGGGAACCCTTCGGGGAAAACTTGGGGGAAGAAGAGGAAGGGGCCGAGGGAGGAAAGAGGAGGAGGAGGAGGAGGAGGAGGAGTCGTAGGAGGAGGAGTCGTAGGAGGAGGAGGAGGAGGAGGAGGAGGAGGACTCTCGGGTGCTTGTGCGGCACTCTCGGGGCCTCCTGAGCGCCTCCTAGACTCCTAGAGGTCTACTTGGGAGGCTCCTTGGCGCCTTCGGAGCCTCCTTGGGAGGCTGTGTGGATGTCTGAAGGCATTCCTGGCCCGTCTGACGCCTTCGGACGCTGTCTTGGGGGCTTCTCTGGGCCGACGTAGGGTCCTCTTGTGGCGCTTCAGGGCCGTCTTAGAGGCCCTTTTGGGCGTCTCGGATGTCTCTTTGCCCGTCTTAGGGGCCCTCTGGGGGCCGTCTTGGGGGCCTCTTGCAGTCAGGGGGGGGCATTTCAGAGGCCTCGTGGGCGCTCTTGGAGTCATTTTGGTGGCCTCTGGGGCCGTCCGTCTTGGGCCATCGGAAAGCCGAAAATGAAGAAAATCAATGAATGGGGCCTCTTCGGACCTTCCTGGAGGTTCTCTTGGAGGCCTCTTGGACCGTCTTGAAGGCCTCGGCGGCCATCTTGGGCGATCTTGTGGCCATCTTGGGGCGATATGTTACTCTCGTGATGCCATCTTGGCCGTCTTGGAGGCATCTTAGGACCGGCGTGGACGCTATCTTGGGCCATCTTGGACGTCCTGGATGCGTGTTGGAGGCCATCTTGCGCAGTCTTGGCCCTCCCGGGGGCGATTGGACACATAGAGAACGGATATCCGGTGGCTTTCGGCGGCGCTTCGGGTGGCCAGCGGCCTTGGCCGAAGGCCCATTCGTAACCGTTTGAAATAACAAAGACATGCCTAACGTTTGGCACGCCGTGCTCCC